CTGCTTTCCCAAAAACGGGCAAAAATAGAGAGCGACTCTAATTTAGATTGAGCAAGTGCTGACATTTACACTGGGGATGTCTGGACCAGAGCCGGGTGCTCTGAGGCTTCACTGCATCACGCAGATGGCACCATTCATACAGCTGACAGCTGGCTGCTTATAAAAGGCCGACCTTCCACCGCGGACAGCAGATCAGAAACCTCGGGGCAGAGTGATCGACCGCCATGAGATCACTTCAGTGCTTCAATCACTCGGGACAAGTCGCAGTCGTCTCGCTTTTCTCTATTCTCCCTTTTTGGTCTGTTAGAAACACCTTAAGAAGCCTCCTCATCAATCTTCGGTGCCAGGTAGTATTTGATGTGCCCCATGTCAGCAATCTTGTACTCCACCACTGTAGGGAGAAAAACAAAACAAACAGTCAAGTCTAGGCCACGACACACCAAACGAAGAATCCTGCAGTCATTTGAGGGAAGAGCAGATGCACGTACCCAGGGGGATATCAGCGGACATGCTGAGAGTGACGGTCTTGGAGAGTGGCGTGGCCTTGGTGAAGAAGTTCAGGTAGTTGAGGGCAAAGATCAGCTGGACGGGTTCATTCATCTCAATCGTAACCTAAACACAGGAAGGGAAGAGCCAAGAACTTAACAGGTGCTGCCACACTCACTCAGATCACCAGCTCATAGAGTAAATAAGAAGCTCTAAAGTAAAGGCCTTAATTGCTGTCTCAGCATTAAGATGGCAACAAATATTTAAGAATACTTGATTTATTTAAATTAAAAAAAAAAAAAAAGTTGGTCTTAAATCTGCTGGTAACTAATTGATGCCTTTAAATAAACAGTCATGAATTCATGACACTGAAACATCTGCAGAGCTTTCAACCTCCACCTGTACTCTGTACAAACAGCAAAAGTCACTTCTTGGTAGAAACTTAAACTGATCCAGTCATAGGTCAGTATTTCTCTCTTTTTATTTTATTGCGTTTTTACTGTTGAACAGCTTGTGAGTGCATTACTGCCACCTTCTGGCAGTAATAGCACATTACACCAGGAGCCAGTTAAAACGGAGCACAAAATGCATATTTAAACCATCACATTTTAATTATTTCACATGTAAATTTTATGCAATTGTCTTGCCCATGTCTGCCAAAACATGCTGAGCTCTCATACTCACAGCCTCGTCCTCTTTGTCCACATTGCTGGTCTGGGACAGCTTGATGTTTCCTGTGCCCAGCTCGCCTGAGGCGGAGAACTTGACTCCATCCTTGGCGCAGGAGATCATGACGGCGTCGCCGATCTGTGAAAGGTCACGGCAGATGCGAGCGAACTCCCCGGAGGGCATCTTCACCACACAGCTGTACTCCTGCTCCTGGAGGGACCGACAGACATGGAAAGGTTAGCAACAGTGTGAGGAAAACCCTGCCGTATACAAATTGAGGATGTAACAGCTGACTTACCGGAATACCAAGCTGCTCCACATCCAGGTCCATCAGTTTCATCTCATAATCTGACACCTTCTCCTGGTCTGCAAGATTGAAGAGAAGCGGTAAATACACCACCGTGACACCACCAGTCAGACTGATGTTACTGAATAAACATAGAATTCAAACTTACTGAGAGTCTCAAAGACGAGGGCGAGCGTGTCTGCATTGTCTTCTGCTCTGAGGGTGATGATGTCCTCATTTCCGGCACACTTCAAGATTTTTGACATACTGGATAAGAGAGGTAAAAAAAAATAAATCAGTAAACTTTAGTCTCGCTGCATTATAAAATACAACAAAACTAAATAAATAACTAATATAACCACGTCATTCACACAATAAATCAAATCCTTTCCGCAAAATATAATTGAAAATTTCAACAAGTAGTCAGTAGTTAAATAAAAATATCATTCAGTCTGTTCTCTTTTTAAAAGAAGGACCTGCAGCGACAACAGGCTAAACAATAAAACAGTTTAAAATAAATATTACTAACAGTCTAATTTGCCGATTAAAAAGCGTTGTAAACAACTAAACAGGCAGTGACGTAGGAACGGAAGTGGTATTTCCCGGGTTCAACAACAATTCCCGCCAACTATCCCGGCGCACAGTTTGGCGCTAAAACGCTGTCACCGCGCAATCACAAAGCAGCGGAACTCTCTCAAACTGCTCCAATCGTAATTTAAACTTTAAAATGTTTTTGCCCCCTTAACAACATCTAATATACAAAGCGCGCCATTTCAGAGCGGTCACTAAAGAGTTAACTAAGTTCAGGAGGCAGACATGCCCGGGCAACTCCGCCAAGATGGCCTTGTTCTTTGTCAGCATCAGAAGCTGCATTAAGATGTAATAAAGTGCGCTTAAAAGGGGCTAAAAGCGATCGTGAGACTCAAAAATAGTGACCGCGTCACAAACCAAGCAGCCATTTTTTTTCGTGTTATTAGACTCGATAAACTTTGACAACTCAACCTGTCAACCTGGGGACATTAGTCAGCAGAAACTCCTCTTAGCTAAGCCCCATCAAGAACCAGCAACGGGCTGGCATCAAACGGTGTTAAGACAGTATTTTCTACCTATAAGCTCTATTTTTTATGTTTGGTATATGTGCTCCACCTGCTCAGGTTGACTCCCATGGCGAGGTTCCTATCGCAGCGGTACGAGTCGAAGCCATCGTGCCGCAGAGTGAGCTGCACCAGTGAGACGTGAGAGGAGTCCATGCTCTGCAGGGAGATGCCGGACGAGCTGACGTCCCAGCAGGCTTCTGTGATCAGATCCTTCAGAGCCTCCAGCACCTTCTTCAGGATGGAGCCCTGGACCAGGCGAGCCTCGAACATGGTTGCTGTGGAGTTTTATGTCTGCGCAGATGAAAAGATGAGAAAGGCTTCTCTGAGAGCTCAGGTTTTGTGTTGCTGGCGAGCACAGACACGGCACGTGATTACCACTTTCACGGTACAGAGGAGTTTAAGCTGGAAGCGCGCGCTAACAGCCAGTTTTAATGATTCGGGGGCGCGATTGCGTCATTTCCGTTTCCTTGTCGACGCCACAACCGCTTAAAAGAGTGGGCGATTATTTCAGCCATGTTGGAGAGGACAATTTTGTAACCTGGACAAATTATACAGAATATTATACAACACTGTACAGCAGGGGTGTCAAACATAGGGCACGGGGGCCAGAATCGACCTAGCAAAAACTCAAATCTGGCCCACTGGACAATTTTGGAAAATGTGGGCATCACGTTTTGGAATTTTTTTCAGACGTTTTACAGGCTTTTAGTACCGATAAAGACCTTTCCCATAGCCATTCATACAACACCAAAGTAATTAAGAAATACATGAATAAATACCATAAAAGTTCTTGTTCCCTCCGGGTACTCCGGCTTCCTCCCACCGTCCAAAGACATGCAGCTTGTGGGGATAGGTTAATTGGATAATCCAAATTGCCACTAGGTGTGAATGGTTGTCTGTCCCGGTTGTTCAGTGATGACCCGACGAATCCTACTTCCGGGTCTAAAGTAGTAATATGGCTTTTGTGTTGTTAACATGTTTAATGTTATGTATTTTCTTCTATTTGATCTCAAAAAGCTCCTAAACAGTCAGTGATCCCTGTTGACCTCCCTCGGCTTTTATTACCACTAATCATTTATTTAAGCTCAGTTTTTAAAACCTTAGGATGTAACTACAGCTCAGCCCATGCAGCAGTATATGAACGACTAACCTCGTATTGTGGATGGATTATCTCAGTTGTTCTCCCGGCTGAAGTTTGGTCCTTTTACAGCATCCTGCCATGCGATTACATTTGTTTCTGACCACCGAGAACACTCATGTTAACTTTTATCGAGTGGAAAAAAAGTTAGCTTGTTTATATTATGCTAACATAGCTGTGTCGCTAGCGGTCACATAGCACATCATTATATACCAGCTAGCCCAACTTCAGTAACCCTACAAACATCACTGCTGTTTAGTTTTCTGTCTTCATTTATGCTGGAAGTGATAGCAGAGCTGTACGTTTTAATTTGTTTCCAAAACCCCGCAGTCAGGACATGCTATATTGTATTTAGATAGAAGCTAGCGAGCTAACTCCCTGCTAACTTCTAACTCCGTTAAATGTCATAAATTCCGTTTTCATGGATGCCTGGATGCTAAACTCAATTGTTACACCTGGTAGAGCAGAACGCTGATCATTTTATTAAAGATGAAAGACTTTAGACAGTTTTTCAACTCTCAGTAATGCCACAGTGATCATTTGATATATGGACCTGCAGCAGAGTTTAGACCCAGATACGGCTAGTGACGTCAGACTGAACAACCGACAGACTGGCGACCTGTCCAGGGTGTACCCCGCCTCTCGCCCTATGACAGCTGGGATAGGCTCCAGCGCCCCTGAAAAGGATAAGCGGAAGTGAATGGATGGATGGAAGTTCTTGTTCATCTAAAGAAAAAAAACAACAACTTTGTTTTATACATACAGGACAATCTGGGCAATGAGCAGTACATTTATTTCTTAAAATGTAAGTCCAAAGTGTAGCAGCTGCAATTTATTTTACTACAAAACAAAACTGAGACACACTGTTGTGATTTAACTTCTTTTTCTTATATTATGGTATCAGTCAGATTCAATCTGTAGTTAGACTTCTTTTCAGTGACAAAGTATTGAATTTAAATCAAAGTGGGAGCTAATCTTCACATCCAAAGTACTTGTTCTATATAAACAACAAAATGTATTTGTCATATAAAATGACCACTGTAATATGACTGTTTTGCATGCTAAATGTGTAAATTAACTGTAGCTATCACCTAACTATTCAAAATTTTACAAAGCTTAATAGTTAGCTAAATGTATCTAGTCTTTTTAAAAATAGGTTTACTACAAGTGCAACAATTTTGAACATCAGTTAGGATTTTCCAGTTTAAAAAAAATAAATAAATAAAAATCCATCACTTCCTTTTTTATTTTAAACTTGGTCCAAAGGCAATAAAAATGGGGCTTCCTCCTTGTAAGAAAACAAGTTACGTTGAGAGAACACAAAGACCTCAAAAACCTTTTTATTGATGAAGTACTTGGTTTGACAAGCACATGGTGTCACAAATTACACAAATCACATCTAAAGTCTGGTGCATACATACAGGCACACATAGAAAAGGATGTTACGTTTGCACGGCCATTTAACCCCTGAGAATGTACTGATTCAGGCCACTTGACAGGCTGGTTTGACACTTGATTCGGATATGAAGCAGCAAACAGTCTTACAGAAAAGCAGTCTGAGGTATTAATTCATGTCAAACAGGACAGATTATTTTTAATTTTTTAAGTGCTGTAGCAGGTGTTTCTTTTGTAATTGGATGGGAAGAAATTTGTGCAGGGTTTAAGTGCAGAGACTAAATTTCTCTGTTTAGAGATCAGAGAGTATGTAGTTGGTTGCCATGGTGACGATTGGGGCTCCTGTTGGTACACCTGGGAAAGGACCGCTGGACCCGGCGATGTCAATGTGGGAGTACGGCAGAGGGGCTTCAGAATCCACGCCGTGCTGTGGTGGGCACGCACAAGGTAACACAGGTCATTCCACACGAATGCACACATTTCACATGAATAGCAGATGAATAAAATCAGCAAGCACCTTGTCAAGTCCTGAAGCCATGATGAGGAAAGCTGCAGGTGTCTGATGTCCTCGAGGTGTAGCAGAGGACGGCAGGTTGTTGCACTGCAGGATGTCCTCGTACTCAGACTGGCCCTTGTGGAACTCATAGTCCTCGCGCCTGATAGTAGACACCTCAAACAAATCGCCCAGCACCTCTCCGGCTGCAAGGGAGAAGGCCATGTATTAGTGTAAATCAAAGGCAGCGTTCTGCCAACTGAAGGCAACATTGTGCTAGTATAGGAGAAGGTAGGGTCATTTCACAGAATGAAAGTCACAGCAGACATTATCAGTGGTATCTTGCAGCTGCCCCTCAGCTAACATCAGTGGTTCCAGCTATGAGATCAGCAGGTTTATAGTGGTGTGGGCTGAATGCATGAAACAGGAACAAGATAGGACCCTGCACTGGTGGAAAGAGGTTTATGAAGCAATGTGCTTTTACTTCTTTTCAAGTATTTGCAATTCTTACAATAGCAGCATCTGCTGGGAAAACGGTAGTACTGCAATTTTATGAAAGCCTAAACTACAAAAACGTGCTAGGCCAACAGGAGTGGTCTCACTGACAATATCATTATAATTTGCTCCAATAATAGTTACACCGGAAAAAAAAAGTTAAAAGCTGTTGAAAACATAGATTCTAAAGAGGTCACATGATTCAATTTATATATAAATAAGCTTTGAAAGGCTGCCCTGTTTTAGACAGTCTGTGTAAAGATCTGGGAAGATTTTTCTAATTAATTAGACCCTAAATCAGGTCCCATAAATCTGTAGTCTGCACTAAAGTTATGTCTTAACTGAGTTCGATGCAAACATAATTCATTTTTTAAAACATATTGAAATCCAATTAACCAAAGTATCTGAGTAAATATGCAGCAATCAAGGAGTCCATTCATTGAATAATGGTTTTAGCTGTAATTGAAATGAGCAGAACAGAGTAATTCAAAGCATCATCTGTACAGTTAAAATAACTAAAGGACTGGTTATTCGGCGTTTCCTCTGTCAGTGAAGTTGTCTTGGCTGTTTTGGTTTGTACACCTGGCAAAACAGGTGAACTAACTCAACTGTTAACAAAATGATTCAGCTCCAGCTGAAAGAGCTGGAGAAGCCTTAGGTAAGTAGATCTATAATTGTAAATATTTCTCACCTTTCTGCCACTGAGCAGCGTTCCCGCTGCGATGGGCTGGTCCGTTATCCATGATGATCTAAATCAAAAAGTTCCAAACTTAACTTAGTACAACAATGATGATTAAAACACTGCTCTTATTTTTTTTTCCTATCATAAAGGAGGGGTCACAGATTCTTTGTTTCATTTAGCTCAGAATTCAGACTGTTACTGTTTATGTACCACAACAACAAATTTAGGTCAGATTTCTAAATGCCAACTTGATTACAAAGAGATTATGAGTAAAATCCATGCTTTTCTCAATACGCATCACCTGACTAGTTTAGAAGATCTTAAAAACAAACTGGGAAACTGATTTGGGAGAATCTACCTCAGACCCAACTGGGCAAACTGTAGTCCAGTTTAAACTTGTACATAGTGGTCATTGGTCTGCTGATCATCGTGTGACTGATGCGGAGGATCCTGACCACTGTTGTATGTTTTGGCTTGTTTTCTAAAATGTGGACAAACAGCACATCCATCTCCATTGATTTCACCGTTTGGGGTGGCCCCATTAGATATCTCTCTAAGTGAACGTGACTGCCTTCTTATCTCTGTTGGCTAGAAGGCTCACTCTCTCTCCATGGAAGGATTTGTTGTCAAGTGCTTCCTCACAGAGGGTTGTTTTCCTCTCTTATTACTGTAGGTCTTTACCTCGTAATATAAAGCATCTTGAGGCGACTGCTTTTGTGATTTGGCACTGTATAAATAAATCTGAATTGAATTAAATTAGATCAGATACAACACATTTTATGTTACCTGGCAACCATTTATATAATTTGTATAGTATAAGCATGGAAGCTGTCATTACTAACACAGAGCAGTATTGGTGTACTGAATGCATGTGACAGAATGACAACATGACAACATATTTTTATACACGATTGAGTAAATATGTTAATGTCTGACTATATTCATATCCTTGATCTGGTTTTCTAGGGGTAGGGTGGGTTGGGTTTGAGGAATGTGTTCAGACTGTTTTTTGTTTTGTATTGATAAAAAAAAATTAGTTACAATAGTGCATGCTCATTTTAAACATTGCCAAAGTAGTTAGTGTATGCATAAGAAACCCTGTAAGCCAAAAGCTCCATCTTCAGATTACTCTAAACAATCTGTTTTATTATTTATTTATTTTTTAACTTTAGGCTACAAGTCAGTGAGAGCAGATGTCCTCCGTATGTTCAGCTCAGGCACGCTGTTCTGGCCGTGAGCACAGAAGTCCCATTAGCCTGCTGTTCAAACCTTCTGTTTGCAAGGAGCACTCAATCAAAAGAAATTTGTTTTAAAGAGAGAGCAGCTATAACTGCTTGAGGCTTTACATAAATGGTTCATTTCAACTGTTAAACATGCTCTTGAATAAAAACACAGCTCTTGAAGATATTGTCTGAGTTTCAGCAGTACTCACAGAGTAGTTGGGTCCCATGGCTCTGATGGCGTGACCAGTCAGAGTGGCGATAGTAAACAGCTGCGGAGAAACTTCATTTACTGCCTGTGTGGAGAGCAGAGGTAAGGTCACGCTGGGAAGGAATGCAACTGAAAACTAACAGCTAAAGATGTCTCCCGAGCTTTCCGACCTTCTCCTTCATCTCGCAGAGCAGGTCGACCATCACCATACGACCCTCGGCATCAGTGTTTCCCACTCTCACCCTACGACCCGCACGGGAAACCACCAGCTCATCCGCCACGTAGCAATCTGAGTAAAATCAAAAAATGTCAGCTGACGAGACTCCACAGAAATATTGTGGAAAAACAAATGGAAGCCCACTGACCTGCACCCACGCTGTTCCTCACCATGGCCATCACGCCAACAACCTTCAGGTGCTGTGGCTTCAGCTGGGCTACGATCTGAAGTGCAAGAGGAGTTTCAAAAGTTTCACTCCCCCATTTAAAATGTATCAAATCTCAGTATGTATAGCGGCCCTCTGAAGACTGCAGGGAGGCGAAATATTCACCTCTGTGCATCTAATAAGGTTTTTATTAACGGTGACTCAGCAGCGTGCAGAGCTGATTTATAGCCGAGTCACAAGTGATGAATATTTATTCCAAGTATTTATTGTTCAGGTGCAAAGAGGCGATTATTCACCTGGAAGAAGCCAGCGACAGCAGCAGCTCCACACTTGTCCCTGTGCATCCCGGCCATGACGCCACCAGCCTTGATGTCTGCTCCACCGGTGTCGTAGGTGATACCCTGGAAACGCCACATCAGAGGCACATTTGCTGACTAAGTACAAACGAATACCCGCCACTTCTTTCTGATTTCCTACCTGACACCTTCCTGCATGCCATTCTTCCTGTTAACTCCCATAATAATCAAACACTGTTACGAATCAATAATATATGCATCTGCGCCTCTATGGTGTTTACCAGATTGGATATGTAATGTAGTAAACAATCTACACCCTACATACAGTTCTAGCCCATCTGTCAACACAACCTGGCAACTCACAGCCAATTTAAGCAGTTAAGTGTTCAGCAAATCTGTGTAACACTGAAGAAACTAGCTCTCTGTTTTAGCTGGTGCTAAACTCTGAACATGCCGTAAGAGAGACATTTTAATCTGGATAAATACACTTTTGATCATAAGCTTATATCTGCTCATTGTGGGCATGAAGTTAGTCAGTGCCATGGGCTCTGAGGTTAAATGGTGTAACATTCATATTTTATATGACTATATGATATTTGAGGGGGTTTTCATTTTGGGTTTAATATCATCTTGTAGGGTCTCAACTTCATAATATGAAGTACATTGGGCTGACTATTGTAATGATCTGGTGTTATATGAATAATATTTAAATAAAGCGATTTAATTGGTTCAAGGGCAGACACGTAAGAGTGTAGTCTCACCTTTCCCACCAACATGAGCGTCTTTTCGATCGGCCCCTCTCCGCAGTACTGCAGTTTGACGACTCGGGCCTGGTGACGGGGTACACCTGTAAAAGAAGAAAACATTAAATCAGTTTGATAGCTTTAAGAAAAAAACCATCTTAACAGCTTTGTGGGTCAGTGGCATCTTACTGTTGGCACAGCGGTTGACCGCAGCCAGGCACGGATACTCTTTCTCCAGAGTCTTCAGGTCGCTCACCACTTCAACCTGACGGTGAACAAACGCAGAGGTTTGAGGTGAGAAAACGTGGATTAAACTGTCACAGAAGAACCAAAGATAAATTTAAAATAAAAAAAAAAAAAAAAAAAAGTTGTAGACTGAAAATCAACAAAAATTCCAAATTCTGAATTTTTCTTAAAAAACAAAAGCAGGTATTTGTGTTCAGGGTTGGGTTGGGGGGGGCTGTCCCATTTCGGCTCTTCATGGCCACTGGCATTTTGGTTTGGTCTTTTTCCTCTTCCTTTTTGTAAATGGTTAATGGAAATATAGACCCCAGCATTGCTGGGTCAGGTATGCCTCTTAGATTCATTAGTTGGAATATCAGAGGTATGGGTAACCCTGTTAAGAGATCTAAGGTTTTACTCACTTGAAACGTCTAAATTCTGACATAGCATTTTACAGGAGACTCATCTTCGCATTAAGGATCATTATAGGTTATATTGCCCTTGGGTAGGTCAGGTCTTTCACTCAAATTTTAATTCGAAGGCTAGAGGAGTGGCCATTCTCATTAATAAGAAAGTTCAATTCACTTTGACCAATGTTGTCGCTGATAGGAACGGTAGATACATCATTGTTGCTGGTACCCTAATGCAGAAAAAGGTTTTGTTGGTAAATGTATATGCCCCGAATTTTGATGATGCTGAATTCGCTAATAGATTGCTGAGTAACATCCCCTTTCTGAATACACATTTGCTTATCCTTGGTGGTGATCTGAATTGTGTTTTTGATCCAATTTGGATCGATCTAGTCCTCGTAATTTGACTCAATCATCTCTGTCTAAAACATTCTCAGATTTTATGAAACAGAATGATCTTGTTGATCCATGGAGATTTCGCAACCCTTCAATCAAAAATTTTCATTCTTCTCTCAGGTCCACCAGTCTTATTCCAGGATTGATTATTTTTTTCATCGACAGAACTCTTAATTCATGTGTTAATTCTTCCGACTATTCTGGTATTGTAATATCTGATCATTCTCCTCTGCTATTGGATGTTCATCTTTCTACCCATAAACGTAGCCCTCCACTTTGGAGATTTAACTCTCTCCTTCTGGCGGATAAAGAATTTTGTGAATTTATTTCAGGCTCTATTGAGGAGTTCTTGTCCTTCAATCAGGATGATTCTGTCTCATATTCTCTGCTATGGGAGACTCTTAAATGCTACCTGAGAGGTCAAGTTATTTCTTACTCTGTCCGTGCTAATAAAAAGATTAATGCCAGGCTTAAAGAACTTATAGCTGCAATTAGTAACCTTGATCAAAGTTATACACTGAACCCTTCTCCAGAATTACTTAAGCAGCGCCTTGATTTGCAAGCAGAATTTGATCTTATGTCGACCAAAGAGGCTGAGCACTTATTACTACGCAGTCGTGGCTCATATTATGAATATGGTGACAAGGCTAGTCGCTTGTTGGCACATCAGTTACGACGTCAGGCTCCTCGCGTGTGATCCCCATTATTAAACACTCTGATGACAATATTACTACAGATCCCTTGGAAATTAATTCTACCTTTAAAACATTTTACTCTTTGTTGTACAGGTCCGAATTTCCCACGGATAAAGCTAAAATGGATGCATTTCTTCATAATCTTTCAAACCCTGTTATTGGTGCTAATGATGCGGGGCAATTGGACTCCCCATTATCTGTTGAAGAAGTATTAAAAGCTATTACAGCTATGCAGTCTAATAAAGCCCCGGGCCCGGATGGGTTTCCAATTGAATTCTATAAAACATTTATTGGTAAATTGGCACCATTGCTTTTGTCTGTGTTTAACGAATCCTTGGAAACCGGTTCATTACCACTACTCTCACACAAGCAACCATAGCGCTCCTTCTCAAAAATGACAAGGACCCAACCTCCTGTGGTTCCTACAGGCCATTATCTCTGCTTAATGCCGATGCAAAGGTATTGGCTAAAGTAATTTCATCTCGCCTTGAGGATGTGCTTCCTCGAATTATATCTGAAGAGCAGAATGGCTTTATAAAGGGACGGCAATTGTTTTTTAATACCCGTACACTCTTTAATGTTATTTACTCAAAGCGTCTATCTGAACTTCCTGAACTTGTGATTTCTTTAGATGCTGAAAAGGCTTTCGATAGGGTGGAGTGGGAGTACTTGTTTGCAGTTTTAGAGAAATTTGGTTTTGGTGATAAATTTATTTCCTGGATTCGGCTTCTTTATTCGTCCCCTAAAGCCAGTGTTCATACTAATGATGTTTACTCTGATTATTTTGCGCTGGGTCGTGGTTGTCGTCAAGGTTGCCCTTTGTCTCCCTTACTCTTTGCCATTGCCATCGAGCCTCTGTCTATTACATTGCGATCTTCTTCTGTATTCAGGGGAATCATCCGTAATGGAATTACACATAAAGTATCATTGTATGCGGATGACTTGTTATTATATATGACTGACCCCGCATGCTCCATCCCTGCTGTTTTAAGTATTCTGGAGAACTTCAGTTCGTTTTCAGGTTATAAATTGAATTTGGGGAAAAGTGAGTGTTTTCCTGTTAATACGGCAGCACGTCAACTTCAACAGTCCGATCTACCCTTTCGTCTCAGTCCGTCTGGGTTTAAGTACTTAGGGATTAACGTGACTCGCTCTCTAGCTGGCCTTAAATCAGCAAATTTGTCTCCTCTTATATCTAGGGTCACATCTGATATTCAAAGATGGGGTAATCTCCCCCTTTCTTTAATCGGTAAGATTAACGTTGTTAAAATGAACATCTTACCAAAATTTTTATTTTTATTTCAGTCAATTCCCTTATTTTTGCCGAAACATTTTTTTGTTTCACTGGACAAGATTATTGGTTCTTTCATTTGGGGAGGGAAGCCACCTAGGGTCTCTAAAACTTTGCTGCAGCGATGCAGATTTAGTGGAGGACTTGCATTACCTAATTTTTTAGTCTATTACTGGGCCGCTCACATCCATAAACTTTGCTACTGGCTAAAATCTTCTGGTTCCTCGTGGTGTAAATTGGAGCTATCATCATGTAAGGGCTCTTCTTTACCGGCTTTGCTCTATTCCTCTTTACCCGTGAGACCCTCTCTGTACACTGATAATCAGGTGGTTCTTAACACACTCAAAATCTGGTTTCAGTTTAGACGTCACTTTAATTTTGTAATGCCGTCTTCCTCGGGTCCTCTAAGCGACAACCATTTGTTTCCCCCTTCACTTTTGGACTCGACATTTTCAGTGTGGTGTGACAAGGGTATAAAACAGTTCAAACATTATATGTGGATGGTGTTTTCGATAGTTTTCCCAACTTGTCTTCTCGTTACAATCTCCCTGTTACCCATTTGTTTCGCTATTTTCAAATTCGAAATTTTGTTGCTAAGTGTTTCCCAAATTTCCCCTCTTTGCCTCCAGAACAGCAGTGGGAAACTACGTTATCATTTATTCCTCATCACAGAGGAACCATTTCGAAACTCTATGATGCTATTCTGTCTTTTAGTAACCACTCTAATGTTAAGCTTAAGCGTACATGGGAAGAAGAACTGGGATTTCGAATACATGAGGAGTCTTGGGAACAGGCTATAGCGAGAGTACGATCTTCCACCTCCTGTGCTCGTCTTGGACTTATTCAATTTAAGGTCATACACAGGGTGCATTTCTCTAAGTCTAGACTTTCTGAATTGTATCCAGAAGTGGAAAATAAATGTGATAAATGCCATGGTTCTCCTTGTCACCTTAGCCACATGTTTTTTCTGTGCCCTGAGCTACAAGGTTTCTGGACAAGGTATTTTGCTATTATGTCAACTGTTCTTGGGGTAACTCTTCATCCTTGTCCTTTGATTGCTGTATTTGGGATTCCTGCTCGCTCACTTACACTTGATTCCACACAAAGGGATATTATAGCCTTCACATCCCTATTAGCGAGACGTCTAATATTGTTGCATTGGAAGTCTGTTAAGTGTCCTGCTATTTCCCGGTGGCTTAAAGATGTCATGTTTTTTTTAAAACTTGAAAAAATTAAATATACTTTGAGAGGTTGCACAGCCAAATTTTTCACAAGTGGCAACCCTTTATCTCTTATTTTGCTAGTCTAGAGGTATTGCCTGTTTAAATCTACTTTTGTTACTGTTATATTCCTCTAATATGTTTGATGGTTGTGTTGATCTGTGTGGGACTGGGGGGGGGGGGGGGGCGTTGTGTTTTGTTTTTTTTGTTTTTCTTTTCATATATATATGTGTGTGTATGTATGTGTATGTATGTATATATATATATATATATATATATATATATATATATGTGTTAATTAGGAAAATTAAGAAAGGTTGATTGTATTTCGGTAACTGCAAGTACTGTTTTCTTTTTTCAATAAAAATATTTTCAAAAAAAAAAAAAAAAAAACAAAAGCAGAATATAGATGTAATAATACTCGTTCTTACCTTCACAGGGCTGTCTTTAAAGAGTTCCTGGACGTAATCAGCCACACGAGGAGCAGCCATACGTTCAGGGTCTGATCCACCGATGTCACGGTACGCCAGTCTGAGGGGGCCAAATGTGGTCAGCTTAGGAAACGTGTGCAGACAATGAGTTCAAGTATCTGACTCACCTCCCATTCTCCAGAGCATTAGCCAGCTCCACCAGCTTTGTTCCCCGAGCCTCTTCCGCTGCCCACAGTCCCAGAACACACACCTTGTGGTCATTTTTTTTCACGTTGCTCTCTCTCACTTCAAGAGGCTTTTGGGCACAAAGAGGGTGAATGAGTGTCCTTTTTGCACACAGATACGTTTTCTTGTTTTTAATTCATGGCTCCATACAGGGAAACTATCTGAATACAATTTCTAAACTTGGCCACAGCATCATTATGATTGCGGACAGCGTCTCTAGAGTGACTGTGTGTAGTGTCTGCAGCTGCTTGTGTCCACCTCACACACCTTTCGATTTCCATACATGGATGATAGCACTTATACACTAAACCTGTCATTACTGGCAAACGGTAAACCATCAATCAAGATATTTTCTCACCATGTAGAGTGCATGAAGGGCTCCGAGCGCAGCCACCAAGGTGTTGTTCTTGTAGTCTGCGTGTGGAGGGCACACCAGCAGGGGGCGCTGCATGCCAGCTTTTAAGGCACTGAAAGGGCAAACAGACACCACATGAGGTAAGAAACATGGAAGTAAACCAGCAATTCAAGTCAAAGAAGAAGAAGAAAAAAAGTCAGCTGCCTTCAACTGACCGCTGGATCCCGTTGACTGCTGCATCACTGAAGCGCCTGATGTCATCGTAGTCGCGGTTTACGGGGCCGGTGGAGGCAAACACCAAGCGGTTACCAGGAAGGCCAGGGACCTTGATGACCACCACCTCCTCCCCCAGACCGCTGTCCACCTAGAATCACCACAAAGCACAATGCATCAGTAGAGGGCAGTAGTAGTACCATGACTGCAGGACGTCACTGTCACACTGAGGTTTAGAGGGCAGGCAATTTCAGGTCCTTCAATGCAGCTGCTCACATCCATCACACTTCCTTAACTTCTTACTGTCACAGTAACATAACAGACTGTGTGATGCTTTTTCACACTAATGTAGCAGGAATGACAACAAGATATAATGACGAATATCTGCTAAAACTGTGCTGATTTAATAAAGTGATTGTTTAAATCTAATATAATGTAGCTTAAATTGAGATTATTGTTTGGTTTGTGGATCTTGTGATTACCAATCACTTGGTTCAATTTAAGATGATTTAATTTCATTTGGCCCTTTATTTGCTTTGGTGACGCCCTTATAGAAAGTTTCAGACAAGGTTTAAATGTGAAAGTGTTTTTCCATCAGATTTGGAATGCCCTGCCCGATGAGATCAGCCAGCCATGACTTGCTTTCTTTTTCATTAAGTTTGTAACAATTCTCCAAGGACATAAAACATGAAAATATACTGACACGTACCTTTTTTCTCCTTATTTTAACTTCTCCTCAAGTTTATTTTAATGTGGTCTTATTTGTTTAACCCTATTGTTTTAATCCAGCTTCTATGCCCATCTTTTGCACAACTGCAAGCAAATATATAGTCGAAAGAAGAGAGTCGGACTCTTACAGCACTGTAGTCCTGCAGTGGGGCTTTCAGGGACTCAAGTTCAGAGGGCAGGGATTCATGGCTCTGGGTCACTAAAACAATCCCATCAAAACTAGAAAGAAGAAACAAACGGTCTTTTAAGAAAATCAAAAGAATAAAAACTGACAGTCAAAGAGGAAGTGGGGCCCTGATACTTACTTCTGGTTCCTGAGGTCGCTCGTCCATTGGATGGGCTGGACGCTGGAGAGAGAAACTGCAATGTCAGCAGAGCCTAACACGATATCTCAGAAGACAGAGTTGCACAATCAGTCTTTTATAATGCAGGCTACTGATAAAAAAAAAGTGGGCCAAGGTTCTGTGTTATCTACAGCTGCTAAGGAGTGTCACACAATACATTTCCTGTGGCGGTAAACACGTTTAGACTTTGGTTGTCCATGCAACTTGAAGCCAGAAATCTTGTTGCTTGAGCTAAAATGACTGCTCCAGACCAAATAACCTGCGCTTTACAGGGAATAAAATGCTCACGAGACTGACTCATTTCACATGAGTCAGATACTTCTGGCATCATATGACGCTTAGAAGAAGTAACCGAAAGTGAAAACTAGATATGAATAAATATCTGCAAGCAGGATGGTAGGTTCGGATTTATCCACATTTTAACTAAATAAATAACACGTAAAACAATAAATTCAATATCACGCAGCTGTGTGCAAAGCCAGTTAAACACGTGCTTAAACAAGTAATCACACTCACAGCAATATCATTACTACTACTTACGACTACTTAAAACTACGCGTTTATGTGAGACACGTGGATTAATATGGCCTCCTTTTTGCTATATTACCACTCTGACTTATTGCATTACGTTTATATTACAGTAAAATATATCTTATTTTCACAGCCTGCTATTTGTGGGTTAAAATACAAAAACATGTTGAAATTGGATCCGATTCTGCGCATGCGGCAGAAAGCTGCACGTCAGAAAACCGTTAAATTAGCCGTTTTGAATTTTAAATAAAACGTAAATACTACCTGGTGCACATTTTCTGTCGTCTTGCTCTGCTACCTTCAGGATGAAAAGCCTAAATGATCCTTCCTACACCGGTTAGGAATTGGTCACATGATCCACTCACGCTGCCTTCAGGGACTTCCGTAGCTGCAAGATAAAGACAAGCTTAGCCGTAAAGTGCTTTTTGGGTCGGCTAATAAAGGCAGCTTTGACACTAAACGGCTGGTTTCAGTGTGTGGTTAAGCAGCAAAATTATGTGCTGTAAATTTATTTCGTGTTTTGTTGTAGAAAATGTCTAAATTTAAGTTAGCCAGGCCGCCAAATTTCCTACTGTACTTCAAGACACAATAAGGACACAGCAGAGATTTGTAGTTTCTACTTCCGATTCATTAAAAAGCCAAAAGCTCAATTTAGATGATTACATCACACATATATATTAATTACAACTAGCAATGATATAAATGATAATCGTGGCTGCACTCCGTCGCTGGCTGAGTGATTTATCTCGCTTTGGACGAGACTGAGCTGACGGACTACAAACGCTAACCGGAAGTAGCTAAAAGTAGTGTTTTCTGTGCAGAGCTGCAAAAACTGCGGAGGTGAGTATTGACTGAAGGCAGTGCAAAGGTCGAAGTGGAAGCAGTAGGTGTCACGGTTGTTCTGTAAGTGTTTTAGTATAAAATAAGAGTTAAAAATGATAAAAAAAAAAAAAATTCCGAGATAAGCAAATCATCCCAGGCTGCAGGTACCGTTTCTAGGGACAGAAGCTGCACAGAGAAGCTGCTTTTTCCACCGTGGTTACAACTTGCAGCTCTATTACAATGCGACAGCGGGAGATAATTACGTGTTATTATTTTGTGCAGATTAGCGAACTTAATTTGCACTTGCTCCATTATGGCAGCCGGTTCTCAGAAAAGTTAGGGTTCACGCAAGTTTTAAGAGTTTAAGGAGTTTAGACTGAGGCATTAAAAGTCAGAATCTGGAGAATATTAGAAAAGTAGTGCATGACAGAATCGTTGCACTGCATTATAAACGGAAACTGATGATATACTAGGATTTCCCACACAGCTAGCGCTATAGTTTACATAGAATGGTCAGAAATAGAGGGGGAAACAATCCAGTCATATTAGGCAGGTCTCTGGGGGAAAATGCCTTATTTTCTTTAAATCAAATATCCAGTCATTGTTCAGCTGTGGCTCAGGTGGTCTACTGTCGGTGGATTTCGATATCTCAGACTAAAGCTTAGTGTCAGTCTTAATTGGAGTGTAAATGTGTGTGTGAATGTTAGATAGAAGTCACTTACATTTAAAAGAGTGTGTGTGTGTGTGTGTGAGAATGAGACATGCTGACTGACTGCTCAAGAAAAGTAGAAAATGGTAGTGGTCACCAGTGCTACACTACAGCCTCCTAGTAGCTGCACCTTTAATATAAATGTTAAAATCCTAGGTGATTTTCAGAAAACGACCACATTCTTAAGTTTTCATATTCACAAACTTGGGTGTCCATGACGCCCGGCCTTGTGCAGCATGAACAAGTCCATTTACCATTTATTAACCAAGGTGTATACTGAAGAACTTCTGTGCACAGCACACCTGAAGCAGCAGCAGCAGCATATCACACCAGGCGCCGCTCCTGTCAGCTAACAACAGGAAAATGAAGCTATAGTCCTCCATCTTATTTCTCTAATCCAATTCAAGGCTACAGTTGGGTCGGAGCCTATCCCAGTGAGAGTCACACTACACCATGGACAGGTCACCAATCTACCAGAGGGCTAACATATAGAGAAAAACGATTATTCATGTTTATTCACACAAAATCAGTTAAACTACCATCCATGTCTTTGGACTGTGCATTTGTTGAAGGATCAGGTATGACCTCTACTATCTGTTTCCACTTCCTCTTCTTCTCACACGAACAGATGAGACTTCCTCTTCGCTCCTTTTGCATCTTCAGGAGTGTAATCGCTCAGGGGCAAGCTGTGGACGTGCAGAGGCGAGGACTCAGCGGTGCAGCGATGCGTCTGGTGCAGTTTCGACGTCGTGGTGAAGAAGCAAGCATCAGGGTGGGAGTGGAGCAAGGTGAGGGGCACAGTGTGGTGGATCTGAAGGCATTTGACCCCTTGATGCCGTCAACAATGAGAGAGCTTCTGGAGCTGGGAGACAAGGGCCTGGAGTGTGCACAGAGGTATCAACAACTCTCTTCCATTAAGCCATTAATTAATACAGCCATACTATTGCCTTATGCTCCTTCTACTCAAATGACTCAATCATCAGCTTATTTGATTACACTCATCTCAAATCATCATCATTTTAGTATTTTCAGTTAACACAATCTTCTTTCTCACATACGTCAACAAGCTTGGTCATCTGTTCAACTTCTGTTTTCCACATCATCTAAAACAAGTCTTCCTCATCATCATCCTCAGAGCTTTGGCGTCCGGTAAGTGTGTAGTAGACCGAGCAGACATCCAGCTGCTGTCTCCAGTGACAGGTCCAGAGAAGGTGGTATGTGTGGGTATGAACTACCGCGACCACTGCCTGGAACAAAATGCTCCAATCCCCAAAGAACCAATCATCTTCAACAAGTTTCCCAGCGCCATCACAGGGCCGTACGATGACATCATATTGCCCTCTGAGAGCCAGGTGAGGGCAAGACTGACAGAGGCCTTAATAGGAAGAACAATGCTAACTCAAAAGAAGTCAAAGTTATATCTAGAAAAAGACAAAAAATAAATAAAATTCTTGTAAGATGATTGTTGAAGATCTCTGAGCAAAAACCACCACAAGAGCTATCACCTCTAGCTTTTATCAGCCTTGACTTCAAACAAGCCTGAAATCTCCGCTCTTATTATCCAGAATTACTCCCAAAGGAGTAACACATCTAATGTAGCCTTACAGACGACACAGACCCACGTTATCTGCGTTAAAGGCAGTGTGGTGTGCAGATAATAAAGGTCATCTTTGTCATATTTTTCAAATGGGTTGTGTTGTTCCTTAGTTCAAACACCAGAACTAATGAAGAGACTGCATTGAGCTGATAATGTATGTTATCAAAGAGTCAGTGCACCCTGAGCTGTGTCTGTTTAGCCCAAGTCTGCACAGCTCACACACTTTGACCACTGCAGACAGACTGAAGTCAACTGCACGCGACCTTTTCTGCTGATCAGCAGCCTACATACTGATCTCAGAGTATGCGAATTGGATAGGATTGTGTAGAAGTGCATCTCTCTAGCTTTGAACTTCAAATCCCTTGAAAGTTGTCACATTAACATTTACTTTTAATGGAAAAATACTTTTACATGAGTGGTTAAAGGTTGAGTAGGTCACTGTTTAAAGTAGGAATCTGGTCTGGACAAGCCAGACTAGAGTGAAGAAAATACCAAAGTACTATAGAAAAGATTTGGGGGACTCCTTACGTTAGCCATTAAAAGTAGGCCCTGTGACATATTTCACATTTAGTGCCTGATTAAAATTTAACCAATCAAATTAATTCTTTTGTTTTCTTTGATAGATGTGAGCAGGACAATAATTTAACAGCACAACACTTGCATAAAAAAAACAAACAAGCTGTTTTTAGTATACTTTAATTTATTAATGCTAAAAAATACACATGTGATGCTTCTTGATGCCGTTTTTACATCATCTTGGCCTTTTGTGCGATTGAAGGAGGTGGACTGGGAGGTGGAGTTGGCCTTTGTGATAGGACGAAGAGGAAAACACATCAAGGTCAGCATCACAGCATCAATGAAGGCCGCGGTGCTTTCACGCTTGGCGAAGCAGCTGTTCTGACTTGATTTCCACTCCTCTTTCTATTAGGAGGAAGACGCTCTCTCCTACGTGGCCGGGTTCACCGTGGCCAATGACGTCAGCGCTCGTGACTGGCAGATGAAGCGTAACGGGAAGCAGTGGCTTCTAGGAAAGACATTTGACAGCTTCTGTCCTCTCGGCCCAGCCTTAGTAACCACTGACACCGTGACAGGTGAGAGAACGAGCATCCGCAGCAGGAAGCGTGAGGCAGAAAGGGGGAATTAAAGACAATCTGGTGACTCATGCAATTATCTGTGATTCCGTACGCCAGCAGCTTCACCGAGTTAACAAGCTGCAATTCAGTGAGGAAATGTTGTTTTTGTAGCTGATGGGAGCAGCATGAAAGCCCCAACCAGATGATAATGGTAACCATTAGGATTTCTAAAGGCTAAAAACATTCTTGTCAAATGTGGGCCATCATGTTTACGATTCACCACGGTTTAATTTCTGCTACCAACGGTTTAATAACAAAACAAAGAAATTCTTACTTCTATATGCAGACTAGAATATTCCTGCATCACATCATAATATCCATTTTCAAAGATGAGATGTTCACATAAAAATGTCCCGCGATGATTTTTGTGCTTAACAGGCGATCATCGCTGATATTTGCTTTTGGGTTACGGCCATTATTTGAGCTGACAAGTAAAAAACTCGCGTAAGATACTATAAATGGTTATTGTTACATGCAGTTGTGAAACATTGGGTACACATTCAGTAGCTTGTAAAAAAACATCTTTAACTGCAATAAATCTTCATCATTATGTTCTGTATGATTTTTTTTTTATTTTATTTTTTTTAATGAGCGCTACATTGTTGCTTCAGTTCATTCGTTCTGGCCGATCGTGGCTCAAGAGTTGGCAGTTCATCTTGTAATCGCAAGGTTGCCGGTTTGAGCCCCGGCTTGGACAGTCTCGGTCGTTGTGTCCTTGGGCAAAACACTTCACCCGTTGCCTACTGGTGGTGGTCAGAGGGCCCGGTGGCGCCAGTGTTCAGCAGCCTCGCCTCTGTCAGTGCGCCCCAGGGTGGCTGTGGCTACAATGTAGCTTACCATCACCAGTGTGTGAATGGGTGGATGACTGAATGTGTAAAGCGCTTTGGGGTCCTTGAGGACTAGTAAAGCGCTATACAAATACAGACCATTTACCATTCAGGCTTTCATTTGTGAATGTTACAAACGGCTCGTGGATGAAGACTAAATTTATTGAACTCAACAGTAAAGATGTAAATCCACATCAGTGCTGTAAAGCAGTCCGTATATGTCAGATGTTGTATGTGTGAATCACAGCTAAGCTGTAATATTGAAGTTTTTACAGATTTTTCACATTTGGTGTGACCAAAATTCACCAAAGTTAAATCAGCTCGAGCTCTCATTGGCGCTACATTCACAGATAATTTCTTGAGAACTGTGGATGCTAGACTGCTAACAAACAGACAAACAATCAGAACTGATGACATTCTCACTTTTTTCGGGGGAGAACAAAATAACCAAACGTTGTGATGTGGT